CTAACAAAGTGAGAGCAATTTTTTCTAAAAAGAAGTCTTTCTTGCTTTTTGCATGTATGAATATTTCAAGGCTAGCATAAGGTTGGGGGCCATAGGTCCTGCAGTGGATGGAGTGCCAGGTGTGGAGTCGCTTAACTCTGCCTCAGTTTCCTCATCTGTAAAATGAGCTAGAGAAGGACATAGCAAAGCATTCTAGTATCTCTGCCAAGAAAACCCCAAATGGGGCACGGAGAGTCAGGCATGACTGAAAAATGAGTGAATGGCAAAGCATAGGCTTGGCAACCTAGGGCCGTTGTACTCTACCTCATTGGTTTGATAAGAGGTTTCAAAAGATACCGCTCCTTCGGACTTGTGCAGAGGTAGAAGAGAAGAAATTAAAGAAATCTGCACTTAAAAAATTAAATCCAGGGCTATATGCTATCCACTGCATGAGCATTTAATGATGGTTTATTTTTTAAAATTTCATTTATTTATTTGTTTTTAGTTTTCAACTTTCACTTCTATAAGATTTTGAGTTCTAAATTTTCTCCCTCTCACTTCGCTCCTTCCTCCCCAAGATGGTGTGCAATTTTATATGGGCTATACACGTACAATCATATTAAACATATTTCCACATTAGTCATATTGTAAAGAAGAATTGGAACCAAAGGGAAAAGCCACAAGAAAGAAGAAACAAACAGACAAACAAAAATAGCATGCTTCGATCTGCATTCAGACAACATAGTTCTTTTTCTGATATGGATAGCATTTTCCATCTGTCTTAGATCCTTGCATTGCTGAGATGAGCTAAGTCTGTCATAGTTGATCATTGCACAGTGTTGCTGTTACTGTGTACAATGTTCTCCTGGTTCTGCTCACTTCACTCAGCATCAGTTTGTGCAAGTCTTTCCAGGTTTTCCTGAAATCCACCTGCTCAAATGATGGTTTGTTGAAGTTGAAATGCACACTCTGGGACACAGAGATGAAATGTCCCCTAGCTCCTGCCTGAAGGCCACTCTTGATTTAATAGGAAGTTAGGAAAGATACATTGGTATCTGTGATAAAAAGTAAAATGAAAAAAAAGTACACAGGAGAATTATAAGCCAAGTGCTAGCTGAGGTCTGGGGTTTCGGCATAGAGACAGTTTCACTGGGATGTGTAGTACAGTGGAAAGGGCACTCAGCTAAGGTGTCAAAAGATCTGGATTCTAATCCAGCTCTGACACTTAACTAGTTCCGTGGCCTTGGGCAAATCACTCAGTAATAACAATATGATAGGTAACATTTATAGAGTGCCTAGGCATTTTACAAATATCTGATTTGGTCCTCGGTACAATCCCACTATGCTGTTATTATCTCCATTTTACAGATGAGGAAACTGGGGCAAACAAGTGAAACGATTTGCCCAGGGTCACATAGCTAGGTCTGAGCTGGATTTGAAATTCAATTCTAGGCCCATGGCTCTGCCCACTGTGCCACCTCGATGCCCCTGTGAGTTTATTTCCATATCTTTAAAATGAAACTATTGGTACTTGTGCCATTTACTTGTAGGGATTTTGTGAAGGAAAGTTCTTTCTAAAACTTAAAGTGCCAGAGAAATGGGTGTTATTTTTATTGTCATTTGAGCTGTATTTTAAAGACTGTGTCAGATTTTAGTGGCTGGATTTAAAGGAGATGAGCATGAGCAAAGGCACAAAGTCAAGATGGTGTGCACTGTGGTGAGGGTGCAGGTGGGGGGATGTTGGAGAGCCCAGAGAAGGGAGGGGAGTAGTGGGGGATAGGACTGGAGAGGTAGGGCGGCTCCGTATTTTGTAGAGAGTTTGAATTTGACCCAGATGGCAGTAGACAGCCATAGGAGGGTTTTCAGCAGAAGAGATGTTATCAGATTAGTCCTTAAAGAATATTAATGTAGTGGCAGTGTGAAAGGTGGATTGAATGGAGGATAGAGGTAGGTAGTGAAACAGTAGTTCAGGCAGGTGACCTGAACTAGCCATATGAAAAAAATGCTCTACAACACTAATAATTACAGAAATGCAAATTAAAACAACTTTGAGGAACCACATCACACCTGTCAGATTGGCTAACGTGGCAGGAAAGGAAATAGACAAATGCTGGAGACATGGGAAGAACAATGCACTGTTTGGGGAGCTAACCCAACCCTTCTGGAAAGCAACTTGGAATGATACCACAAAAACCATTAAACTATGTGTCCTTTGTCCTCTCAGTACCACTACCAAGTCTGTTCCCCAGAAAGATCAAAGAAAAAGGACCCACATGTACAAAAATATTTATAGCTGCTCTTTTTGTGGTAGGAAAGAATTGGAGACTGGGGTGGGCGGGGGGAGCAGTTTTGGTATATGATTGTGATGGAAGATTATTGTGCTGTAAGAAATGGCTAGGGGGATGGTTTCAGAGAAACCGGGGAAGACCTGTATGAACTGATGCAGAGTGACATGAGCAGAACCAAGAGGACAGTTGATTTAGTAATAGCAATATTGTAGTGATGATCCACTGTGAAAGATTTAGAATTCTGGTCAACACAATGACCCAGCACAATTCCAAAGGACTTAGGATGAAACATACTATCCATGTCCAGAAGAGAACTAATGAACTCACAAGTACACGTTGAAGGATTCGTTTTCTCACTTTCTTGGTGATAGAGGATGAGGGAGAGCATGGCTAATGTAGAAATTTGGTCTTCATGATTATGCATATTTATAATAGGCTTTTATTTTTCTTGCCTTCTCATTTGATGGATGAGAGGGTAGAAGGAGGGAAAGAATTTGAAACGGGAAAAAAAAAAGTAAGTCTTTGTGCTTCAGAAAAGTAAAACATTTAAAAGGTGGGGGGGGGGGCTGAACTAGGGCAGTAGCAGGAAGGAACCGAGAAGAGAGGATGGATGAATCCCCAAGCAACTCTGTCATCTACCCCCCAAAACATACTGACCATGATCAGGAGAGGAAAAGATAAATGGGGGAAAAAAATATATGAAAAAAACAGACAATCCTTTGTCTAAAGAAACTTTAGAATCCCAGGGCTCATACCTGGAAAACCTAAGGGAAAGACCCCCAACTTTGTCATTAGAAAGAACTGGAATTCAATTTCTGATTCTGCCACTATCTTGCTTTATGCCTTTGAGTGTGTCACTTCTCCATCTGGGCCTCAGTATCCCCCTCAGTAAAATGAGGGAGTTTGACTAGATGATTTCTTATGCTCCTTTTAGCACTGAAATTCTGTGACTGGAGGACTTAGAGGCTCTCATGGAACAGAACAGGGGTTCTGTGAACATACTTCAGCACTCTTTATAACAGGCTCTTGAGTAGTTAGGGGGGCTGACCATGTGGTGTGGCTGCTTGGGGATGCTGTGTAATGGCTTCCTGCCTCTGAACTTCAGAGATTCTTTGCAGTTTGGACAGTTCCTCGCTGAAGGACTAGAGGCTGCTTTGATCTAAAACATCCAGTTCAAAAGCTTGCCTGGATTAAAGTGGTTTTTTTCTTTTCTTTTTCCTAAAGAAAGAGTCCCCTACATTATTTGAATGACTGAATGAAAAAGGTGTTTATTAAGCAGTTACTATGTCAAACCTTGTGGAAACAAAAACAAACAGGACAAATCCCCATCCTTAAGACACTTAATAGCTGAAGACAACGCACATTGGCCAAGCTAAAGTTGGTAAGCAAGAGCTGGGGAGGTGTAAGCGCAATGCAGGCTGTGTGCTTTAGAGATGGCCTGATCCTGGGCAAGAGAAAGTGAAAACTCACCTACAGAGCCCAGGGTCCCAGTGTTCAGGCGGCGTGGGTTGGAGATGACCAGGAAATGGCACCGTGGCCTTGGAGGCTATGGTGAGAGCTCATCTCTGAGGCCAGCATCCTTAGGTTCTGAGTCTTATTGGAGTTTGAAGAGGTGGTATTCATATTTACCCACGGTTGATAGCTGTTTCTAGGGCTGGAGCAAATAGTGAGTTGTGGTCTGTGGGATGCAGAATTGGCTAAGGATCAATTATAGAGGCACTGGCTTCAGAAGAGTGAAAAAAGGTGAGGTAGCTTAGGAAGCCCTCTCGTTCCCTGGAATAGCCAAGGTTTTCCAGGTATTACTCCTTGCCCCAAGTTGACTCAGAACTCCCAGACTTATTTAGCCCTTGGTTTGCATGAGACTAATGGGGTTAGCCCTCTTTTATGGACAATCTTGGCTGGTTAATAGGTTAGAGAATGATTTGTGGAGATAGGTTTTATTTCCCAAGTAATCACTTGGTTTCACTGTAGAAGGCCACCTAATAAATACCTCCTCTCAGTGCAGAAGACTACACTAGTGTGTCCACATTACTGGAAAATCAATTTCAGTCCGAGGGCCTCTGGACTGACTTAATTGTGTCGTCTTAGTACTTGTGAGTCCAATGTTTTTGTTTCCCTCAAAAACCAATCTTACACCCGGTCAAGTCTTCTTCCGTTGGAGTACCTGGGGTTGGTCTTCGAATTGCCGTAGTGCCCTTTTGTACTGTGTAAACTTTGCTTATGTTACTTTGTCAGTGAACTTAAAACCATGAAAGTTAGAACTCAGAGTTCTCAGTCACCTGGAAGACTGGGATTTTGGGGTTCCGGGGATGAGAAATCCTTGGTTGAATGTAGCACGACTATAGTAGATACAGTGCAGGGCTTGAGGTGAGGAAGCCCTGGGTTTATTCCTACCTTTGCTACCTACTAGCTTTCTGATCATGAACAAGGCGCTAAACTTTTCTGGATGTCATTGTTCTTCTCTATACATTAATGTGCAGGTTTTATTAGATGCTTCTGAAGCTCTCTTCCAACTCCAGATCTCTGATCCCATCAGCCTTTGATTGGGTCACAATTTATTAGGTTCTGCAGGCTTAGGGAAAGGGCTGTGTCAGAGAGAATCAGAGGCACAGTTTTCCATCAATCAATATGCCGGTATAGAGGAAGGAGGGGAGAGAATGATTTACAACTGGGGAGTAGGAGCTGAGTTTTGGGAGCATGGGCAAACACTAATTATTACTGTGCCTTTTCTAGGTGATGGCAGGTATGAAAGCAATGATGACCCTGGAGCTGGTAAGTTACTATATGTCTAGATCATGTGTTCTTAACTAGCAGCCCATTAACTTGTTTGTTTTGCAAATATTTTGATTTGTATTTCGATATAATTGGCCTAATTTGTAAACCTTCATGTTTTATGTTATGCGTTTAAAAACATAATTGTAGAGGAGTCCATGACACACAAAAAAGGTGAAGTAGCCCAAGTCTAAATGTCATTCCTTGCCACCCAAACCTTTATTTTGAATAATTCTGATCATATTTGTTTGATGCACAAAACAAGTAAAACAGCTGGTGGAGCTGCAGCAACTGCTTCACACATTTCCTTCTACAAAAACCAACAGATACAGAGATCACTGTGGGAGAAAATCATGTGACTGAGTCCGGATGGTAGACAGAGAGGAGAGGCGTTCCTCCAAAGGGTGCATAGCCCACAGCTCTTTAGTGCAATGAAAGTTTTACAAAATTTAACTGTTGATATAATGAATTTATGTATATATACTTATGGTAGTGAATGATAAGATAGGTTAATAATATATTGTATTTACGCATTTATGACTTAGTAAATTTTTTTAAGTTTACATTCATGCATTATTGCGATTTTCTGCAGCATGCTGCAAATCTTCAAAAATTTCCATTTAATTATCGATGGCCCACCTGCGAATGTGGAAGGATGACTGTAGCTAGTCGGAGGTAGGGATTAGACTGATCTCTGCTTGGTCAGATTGACCTTCCTGACCATTGGACTCGTCTTGAACTGGAATAGGTTGATGTGGGAGGTGGCAAGTCTCTTCTCCCTGCACGTCTTCACTTGGCAGTTTGATGCGTACGAGTGTGGATTCTTATTCAGCCGGGGATTGGACTAAATGTCCTCTGGGTGCCCTTCTAAGTCTGAGTCTGTGTTCATCTGAAGTCCGTCTCTGTCACCAGTCACTGAGCAGTGTGGTTGGCTGGTTTGGTGTCCATAGACCTCGGTGTGGTGGGTTTCTGTGTTTCTGTGCCTCACCTTACCTGTCGGTGCCTCTTTCCATTTTTTCTTTGGCAGGAACAATAGCAGAAACTGGGACAATTGCCGGCATAGCCAGTGCCCTTGCGATGGCACTCATTGGAGCAGTCTCCAGTTATATTTCCTACCAACAAAAGAAATTTTGCTTTAACATTCAACGTAAGTGATTAGAGATGATCCTCTCTTTCTCCTGGAGTTCAGTCTGTACCCTTCTCTCTTCTTGACAACAATGTGTATGAAATGCTGTGAAAGGGAAGATAGCAGTCAGTTGTCTTCCAGGGAGAATAAAGGGAATGGGGCCAAATCACTAACAAATCAGAAGCTGATTGAGACCCAGGGAAGAGCTTCTGGTTTAGTAAGATAATCACTGAAAAGGTCATAGAGGAGCCATTTACAATAGGATAAACGTCATCTTAGGTGGGGCGAAGTGGAGGCTTTCCCAAAGAGAAGGGACTTGATGTGATGACCTTTGGAGGTCCCCTCTAGCTCTGAAAGTTTGCAGTTCTTTTGGGCCCCGGTGATTAGTGGGAGGCAGTGGAGCTCTGTGGCTTGTGGGTAAAGCAGGCATCGGGACAGAGGATGAAGGCCACAGGCCCTGTCTTCCTTGTTTGGAGCAGAGTAGTGGAATACAACAGCAGTCTGTGCTGAGAGAAGTGCTGGCTCATTAAGCCCTGAGCTTTAGGGGAGGAAAAAACAAAACAAAACAACCCAACTCTTCTGTGCTGGGGAGATTAGGGGTTTGGGGAGAAGCCTGGACCAAGTTGGTTTGGAAGGTGCTAACACAACAGCCCCCCCCTCCCCTGGGAGGGAGGGGGAGGGGATCTTCTGATGCAGTGAGCGCTGCCTCAGGAGATCCAGTCTTTGGGGTCACTGTGCTCCGAAGCCCACGGAGAGCTCTCCCATCATCTTGAAAGATCTGCAGTGGCTTTTGAGGTAAGGGAGAAGTAAGTGCTGCTGCAGTTCTTTATTTTCTCCCTTAACCAAAGCTCAGTTTTCAGCTTTTCACCTTTACTGGTCGAGCACGCTTCATGTAGCCAATAGGATTTTGAAGAGTTCTATGTAAATAGCATAGTTGTTGATGGTCTTATATTTTCAGTGGGTGTGGGAGGGTGGGGCCCTCAGTCTTTGCAGGGGGCTGGAGCACCCTAATGTAACTGTTTCGTAACCTCTGAAGTATACGTGCTGAATTCTCTTCAAGAGAGCTATGTCTGTACTTGAGGACACTGTTTTCCAAATGAAAAATTACCCAAGCTGTGAGGGACTGTCATTCCTGTCTTCCTTCCTCAGGCTCCCTGTGGGGAGGCACAACTTGGAATAGAACACCCCCCTCCCCCATCCTGCTCTTAATCCTGGCCTGGAGCTGAATTTCTCCAGCTTCTAGGTGAATCTCCAGGATGCTAGAAGAGCACAATAAATTAGCCGTGTGCCTTTGGGCTTGGGCTTACACTTCTGGACATTGAGGGTATGAAGGTGCATGCCAGGTGTGTGTGCTTGTATTTTGGCAAACACAAATGAGACTGTGTAAGTGGCAGTTTGCTATTGTTTTTCTTACTGAATATACATGTTATGTGTTGAAGGCCAGAACCGAGAAGTCTGGGCCTTGTTTCCATAGGGCCCTTGTGCAGAATAATCTTTTGGTAATCAGTCATAGACAGCATTGTGCCACGGAAGGGTGAGCTTAGCCAAAATGGCATGAGAGGGTAGAGATAGACTCTTTTTTTGCTCTCCCATAATCTTATTATTATTTAGTCTTAAGTGCAGTTGTTACCAGGCAAGCAAATGCCAGGTGTTGGAGATAGAGAGACAAAAGTGGGCCGGTCTCTGCCCTCAAAGAGCTTGGGTTGTGTTGGGGCGGGAGACAACCTGTACGTGAAGGTACATGTGCAAAGTCAATACAAAGTAGTTTGGAGAGGGAAGGCCCTAGCAACTGAGAAGAATTGAAAAAGCTTCATGTAAGCAAAGCCTTCAAAGAAACTCTGGTTTCTAAGAGATAGAGATGAGGAGAGAGTGCTTTCTGTGCATGAGGAACAGCAGCTGGTACAGAAGACAGTGAGATGGGAAATGGAGTTTCATGTGTGAGAAACAGTAAGGAAGTTAGTTTGCCTGGGCTACACCTGTGTTAGGGGGACCAGATTGTGAAGGACTTTAGATATGATCGAAGACAGCTGGGAAGGATGTAGGGTGAAAAGTGCTCTCCATCTCCAGAGAGAGAACCCATGGAGCCTGAGTGCAGATCCAGGCAGACCTTTTCTTTACTTTCTTTCTTTCTTTTTTTTTTTTTGGTCTATGTTTTCTTTCACAGCATGATGGAGTTTCTATTTGATCCTAAAAGTAATAGAGCCACTCTAATTTATTGAGTATGAGAGTGACATCATCAGACCTGTGTTTTAACAAAATAATTTTGCCAGAGGATTCGATTAGAAAGGGGAAAAACTTAAAGCAGGGAGGCTGATTAGGTGAGTGAATAAATGAAAGCTTGAAAACACATTAATTAGACACTTACTGTGTACCAGGCAGTGTGCTGAGTGTAGGAGATACCAATAGAGAAGCCAGACCATTCCTGCTCTCCAGGAGCTCCCCTGCATTTAGGCTTGTAGGGCCTTAGGTCTACCTAAGGTTCATTCCTTACATTGAGCACACTGGAAGAATGTGAGGGCTTGCTGCTTTGATCTGAATTTGTAATCATTCTATGGCCTAAACAAGAGTTAAAATTAGTGTTTGAATGTATGATATGTAAAAGATTCCATTTCTGAAGTATCTCTTTCTTTCAGAGTGAATATAATTAGAGAAGGATAAACAAGCTTATGAAACAAAGTTGTGTATCTGTTTAGTTGTGAGGTTAAAGTCACTTGGTGATTTTAGTAAACTATTATGAAAATAATGCATTTTCATTTGAGCAGTGGGAACGTAGATGCAGTGAAACTGATTTTTAATAGACAATAGAACCTATACAACCAAGTGAATGCCAGTCAGTTGCCGAATATTGCCAGTTCTGCTCCTTAGGGAACTTGCAACCTAACAGGAATGATGCTAAAGCTTATAGAGGAAAAGTGGTGGATTATGTGCCGAGTATGCTAATTAGGTGATAACATGCAACTCCGTCATTCACTACTGGAGATCGGGGAGGAGGGTTTCCTAAGGGGCATGCTTTTGGTTTGTTATGTCTTGTAACAAGATAGCTTCAGGAGCTGACGCCTGCAGCTTGACCTCTGGATTGTATATGGTAACTGTGGGCATCAATGCTTGATGGTTCTGCTAGTACAAGATAGTCCTGGTCATACAAGGGATATTCTACAGAGGTCAGCTTGTTCTTGTAACAGGGAGAGACAGTTTACCTCACTGGGCCCACTTATGAGTCACTGCCAGAGAGAGGGTCCTTGGGCTGGAGGGAAACTGTCAGGGATAGTGTTTCTGAGGCCAGGGAGAAATTGGGGTCGAAGCACCCCGTCAGAATGAGTAGGATTAAGAACATGAATACCAGGAAGAGAGGTAAAGATGAATATGAATTATAAAGAGGATTAATTCTAGTCCTCAGAAAGGCATATTGGGAAATGGTAGGCCCTCAGCAGCCTAGGACATGAAGATTTGTCGACAAACATAAATTATGTCACACCATATTGTAGGCCTGTGTGAGGGGAATCTTGAGGGTATGAGTGTGAGGTTTTTTTGGGTCACTGAGGAAAGAACTAAGTGTCCTAATGGATTTGAATGTGTGGACAGTCCCTCCAGCTTTCTGGCTTGGTGTGGAATTCTGTAGCTACATCTGTTTATTCCCTACCTGATAATTTGCAGTGGTGGTAAGGTAAGCGTAGACCAGGGAGACTTCCTTTTGTTGACTTATGTGCAGGTTCCACTTAGAGGCAAGTAGGTGGTAGAGTGGATAGAACATGGTAGTCGGAGCCAAGAAGTCCTGGGTTTAATTGCAGCCTCAGACATCTACTAGCTATGTCTGTTTCCTCACCTATAAAATGAGGATGATTAATAGCACCTATTCCCAGGGTTGTTGTGAGGATCAGCGGAAGTAATATTTGTAAAATATTTAGCATAAAAAGAGATTTTTGTAAAGTGTTATGCAATCTTTAAAGCATTGTATAAAATGTTATTAGCTGCTGCTGCTGCTACATATGACTACTATTGCTGCTGCTGCTGCTGCTGCTGCTACTGTTACTACTACTACTTCTGAAGGCAAGACTTATGGCCCTGGGCAAACTCCTTCCAACCCTATATATTTGATCACATGACCATTTAATGCTAACTCTCATCTTAGGCACTGGGAGCGATTCTTGGAAGCACTCATTACCTATCAGCTTTTAATTCTGTTAACTCAGTGTCCCCTGACATTGGTTTCTTCTATTACCTTTCTTACCAGTGTCTAGTTGCTTCTAGGGATTCCTAGAAAATCCAGAGATGGCATGAGAGGGCCCCACCTCCAGCCAAAGTACATGGAACTTGCTTGTCTGTAGTGTTAAGGGGTCAGAAATTGGCCTACCTTGTAAGGGCTGCTTGCTCTGTTTCTTGGAAAGCTAAGGGTTCTCTGAAGACTCTGTTCGCCTCAGTAGTTCAGATTCAGAGTTGCTTTCAGTGTGAAGTGGCCTCTTTGGTATTCTCTAGACTTTCGCAGCAGCGGGATGGTTGGGAGTTTGATGATTGGTAGAGGTGTGGTTATGCTGAAGAGAAACCCAACAGTTGCTCTCATGGGGAGGGTAGAAGTGGGATGGTGGCATGGCTCCCACTTTGGAGACTCTTGCGAGCCTCTGTTTCTAGAACACTTAAGCCTAGGACTTGAGTTTTCTAGATTCAGGTCATTAATTCTCTAGTTCTAGATCTCTAGGTCTTAAACTTTAATAAACCTGGACCTAGGCTTTGTTTTTCATGGGGGGTGGGGGAGGATCTTAAGTTATCCAGATCTGAGTTGAAGTATCTAGGTTTCTAAGACTATAAAGGCTAGGAATTTAGTTCCTTGATCCTGTAAGTTTCTCGAGTCTCTAAATCCCTAGGTTCCCTAAGTCTCTAAATGTTAGAGATTGTAAGACCTAGAAGAAACTTTCATCTAGACCTAGAGACAGTGCTTTAGTCTTTAGGTGTGTACGGGTCTAGGTATCTCCATTTATGAAATTCTCTTTCACTCTCCCTGTTTCTATCTCTCTGTCATTTTAAGTCTCTTTCTCTCAGTTTAAATAGCTCTCTAGCTAGCTATCTCCATTCATATGTTTCTCTCACCACCTCAGTCAGCAAGTATTTATTAAGCATGTGCTTAGTATTAGACATACAAAGAAAAGCAAAAGCAGTCTGCCTGATACACATTTTCACATCTGTTTCTTCCTCTGTGCATCACGGTCTCTCATCTTTATATCTACATTTATCTCTACCACTTTTTAGATAGATCTAGATATTGCAGTCTGTATCTCTAAATTTTATATGTAGCTCTTAATCTCTTATTTTCATCTACTCCATATATTTCTCCTCTAAACCTCTTTCCCTGAGGCACTGCCCTCCAGTTCCTGCACTATCATATCCCTTTGCCCCTTCCCTTTTATTTAAGATCATCACACCAAAACAAAAATTAATCCCAGACCCTTCTTCTTTGACTCCCCTCTATGGCCCTTGCTGATACTGTGGTTCTCAGGGCAGGCTTGTATCATCCCCCATCCACATTAGACTGCAAACACCTCATCCTTATTCAGGTTTTCTCTAATTGCCCACGTGTTTGTATTTCAAAGTTTCCAGCAGAATGCAGGGGGCTGAGGGGAGCCAGGAAGTCAGATTAGGACTCTTGTAAAATCTACTCAAAGGAAGAAACCAAAATTGGTGAGTTTTTAGCGTGCAAACTATAAGGCTGTGCCCTTCAAAGAAAATTACTGATTTCACATGTATGCAAAAAAAAAAATCCCAAGAAGTCATATTTAAAACAGATATTTCTTCTATTTAGAAGTCTGCTAAAATAAGGGTTGCATCTTGTGGTTTTCAGTATACAATAAGTGGATACAATCCCATGCAGGGGCATTGTGTCCATCAACCAGCATTTGTCAAGTGCCTATTGTTTGTCAGGAATTGTACTGGGCATTTGGGTTACAAAGACTAAGATGAAAGTGTCCTTGGCCTTACATCGTTATCCTGGGAAATGACAAATTATATGGAGGAGAGAGGGGAGTGAAGTCATTGCACCTCCAGGACAGTGGGAAAAAAAGGGATAGGCATAGAGACATAAGGATATGTGTGTATGTAGGGTGTTCTGAAAGTCTCAGTGCACTTTTGGGACACTGTGTATACATACATGCATTCATGGAAATAGGAATTTAAGATTTATATCTGCACGAGAAATATCCACGTTAAGATGCTAAGGAGAGAGACCTCAAGATGTACAGATCAATGTGTAGGTCTGTCAAGTCCGAGATGTAGAGATCTGGAGCTAAGAACTACAGACGTAGACTTAGAACCTTTGAGAGAGCGAGCTGGTAAGTGTCCACAGAACCGTGGCATCTTCATAGTTATTTGTCCTGGGGGAATTTTTGATTTCTCCTAACCCCTTCCCTCCCAGTGAGCTACCTCATATCATGAATGTTTTTTGAAAGAGAAAAAAAAGTCAGTAAAGCTGATCAATACATTGAAAAGATCCAAAACTTTATGCAATGCTCCACATTCATGGAGTGGGGGAGGTGTTTTGTCATAGCTTTTCTTTGGGGCCATGAGTTTCGTTCTTTTCAATTCTGTCAGGTTCATTTTGAGTTGTTTTGTGGTCGTGGCTCTTTTTCCATTATCACACTCATTGTTTTTTGACTCTGATTACTTTGTTCTGCATCAGTTCATTGTATCATGCACAATCAGTGTAGCCATTCCCTAATCCATGGGCATCTCCTTTGTTTCCAGTTCTTTGCTACCATAAAAAGTACTGCTCTAAATGGTGTAGAGGGGACCTTGTTTTAACATTGTCCTCCTTGGGGTAGGCAAAGGGCCTGGACATTTCATTCGCTTTGTTTGCCTGATTCCAAGTGGAGCAAATGGATTGTTACATGTTAGATCTTACTACTGTGCTACTAATCAGTAAAACAAGAGCTTGGCACATAACTTGTCTGCCCAGGCAATGTGAGGGAAGGGGCGCCAGAATGGTCTTTATGTCCCTGAAACGTCTAAGTCCATGGTGGACAAACTGTATTGAAACTTTTCTTTTGAATTATTTAAAGTAATAGAAATAATTTTTCTCCTATGTCCCTGCCCTTCCTTCTTGGAGGAAAAGAAAAACAAAACCCTTGTAACACAAACCCATTTGAAGTAAAACAGATTGCCTCATTCTCCCCTGAGTCCACCATCACTTTGTCAGGAGGTAGGTAGCATGCTTCATCAGCAGTCCTGGAATCGTGATTGGCCATTGCCTTGATCAGAGTTCTGAAGTGTTGTTACTGTATAACTTGTGCTGCTCACTTTTTGGACTTTTATCATTTCTTACAGCGCAAAAGATTTCCATTACATTCGTGTGCCATCTATGAGTTATTCAGTCATTCTGTAACTGGGTATAGCCTCTTAGTTTCCAGTTCTTTGCTACTACCAAAAGATCTGCTGTTTTGATGTGCGCACTGTTTTATGACATTGTGGCCATAGTTTCATAGTGCTTTCTAGAACGGCCGAATCAAGGCCCAGCCCACCAGTAGGCTAGCTGCAGCATCATTGGCTGTGTTCAGTTGAGTCTGTGACATAGAACGCTTCATTTCTCTTTTCACTTACCACCACATTTTTGCTTCATAATTTGGCCTTAAAGGTTTTGTAGTATCAAGTGCTGATGCTTAATGGTGCGGACGATGTTTCTGTACTCATGATTGGTCTTCTGGGCATTTTGGACTTTCCAAATAGTTGTGTGGCTTTAGATTTTGAAAGGCGGGGGAACTCTCCTGGGCAGTTTCTCATATTTAGCTCAAGGATAACTCACACATCCTGGGAGATGGCAGGATCCTGACAACAGCCTTGCAAGAAGCTGTATTATCGAAGAATGGGGGGAGGAAACAAAGGATCTTTTAGCAAAACAAATTAAAAGTAACAACTTCAAAGGAAATGACTGATTCTTTACATGCAAGCAAAAAAACCTCCCCCTCTGAACTATGTTTAATCTCAGCGTTTATTCTTGCAGTCTTATGTGGTAGCTTTGTCCATTTACTAAAGGCTTACTTACAATGTGCCAGGCACTGCATAGAAAGGCAAAATGAACATCTGTGATGGCAAGCAGCAGCACTAGGACTTTGAGAATGTGCTGGATAGGAAGGTCCACCAGGTATTCCCGAGTGAACCTAAGGTAGTTTCTGGGGGCACTGGCAGAAGCCTGAATTCTGCAAGTAAATTGGCATACAACAACAATAATTTCTTAGATCCCAGCAGCCAAAGAAATCACTTCTTTTTTGCCCAGGAAAGAGAACAACACAGAGAAATAGTAAGTCATGACACATTCAATCAGTGACTTTCTTGGGAACTCAGTCTGTTTTGCTGATCGAGGTCTTAAGTCTTTGTTCTAGGGTTGTAAGCTTTATGCCTTATCCCCCGACGCTGCAGAGGGTGAAGGTAAAGATGATGCTTTGGCTCTTGCTTCCCTTTCTCCTGCTTAATCACTGCTCCACCCTCCGTCCCCCACCGCTGTTTCAAAAGCACAATTTCTTCTGTTGCAACCACGTTCTTCCTGTGCCATTTTTTTTTAATCCATCGTCTTTTGAAAAGCATTTGATGTTTGACAGAAAGGAACATCTCCTTGGAACAATGTACCTGGAATGATGTGTGCTTGGGTTGAGACAAGGAGAGATCACTATGGGGAAGAGGTTTTCATATCCTTCCAGGTAAGGGCTGATGGAGGAAGGCAGTATCTGACTTGGATGTCATAAGACGTTGCCTCTTTAGAAAAGACAACAGCACCACTGCCTTCCTTCCTAGGTACTGGGAAGATTGCTGGAACTACTATTCTAACTCATCTGAGGGGAGAAAGGGAACAGGGTAATCTTTTTGTCCAAGGGGATGGCCTAGGCACAGTGGAATGTAGGAGGAGTCTGGTTGGTTCTTCCCTTAAGCAATTTAGGGGTACCAGAAAGAGCCAAAATATTGTGCTCAGTTTGCCAGTCTAAACCTGCCATACTTAAGAAGTAACTAGCTCACCAAATGCATCCTTTGTTGCCACCTGGACCAAGATTTGCAGGCCCAGATTGCACTGAATTTTTCTTCTTTCTTGAGCTGCCATTAGATAAGGGAAGGCTAATAAACTAAATAAAAGTGGAGTTTTAACGAAAGGCAGGGAATTAGATCCCATTTTCATTTCCATGTGCAGGGAAAGGGCACTTGATAAGATTTAGGGGCTTTTCAAATCCAGCCTCAGATACTTGACGCTTATTAGCTGTGTGACCCAGAGCAAGTCACTTAACCCCAATTGCCTCACCAAAAAAAAGGGGGGAAGGGCTTTTTGAAAGGAAGCTGCTAGAGAGAGAATATATTTTGGTAGGAATTTGCCTTCAGACTTTAAAGATGATAAGGTCACTATCATCTCCCATCAGTAGCCTAAAAAAGTCCAATATCAGTGCACTGGTTATACTAGTTAGTACTAACTTTTCCCACGTGGCCTCCATATTTGTTAATTTGCAAGCATGTTATTAGACAAGATTGGTTTCCCAGGTTACCTGTTGATAGGATATGGCCTCTTCCTTTCAGAGCTGCTTTCATTTCTTAGAAACTTTGTGGAGTGAGCCTTCCTCTACAGTGTAGGCCGATTTCATCCCATCTTCTGGACCAGTGTCCTAGACACCGTGTTCAGAGGATACAGCTCTTTTTGACTCCTTTCTAAAAAGGCAAGAAATACAGGTTCCCAGATGGGTCACTGGGCCTGTTGCCAGAGAAGGGGATGTGGTCTGAAGAAGGCCCAGATTTGGGGGCAGCACTTTTTGATGCTGATAAGTGCAGATGGGGATATGAAGGCAGCTCTTTATCACTGATAACCTTTAACTGTATGTTTTGTCACCATTTCCCAATGAATCCCACCCATGACTCACTCATATTACCATTTGGCTTACCTCCCTCACTTCAGCTATGTGCCAAGCATGCTTAGCCATGGAAACTAAAGCATTGAACACTGCCTGAAACAGATTGCATAGCTCCTGTCATTTGGAATGTCTCTTTGAAATAGGACACCTTTAGAATCCTACTTTTAATGAATGGTCTATTTGGGGCATTCAACCTTGATTATTATTGCTTAAAAAAATCATTTGAATTCTCATTGTCCTCATGTACCTGAAGGTTTTGAGGAAGCCATGGTTTTTTAATAGAGGAATTTGGTCAGTAGTTTTTCATAGTTGGCTGTTTCCGTGACTAATTCTCCTTTCTTCTACTACTTAGAGGGTGTCAATACAGACTATGTGAAAGGACAAAGCCTGGAAGGTGTGAGCACTGAAGAACCTCAAGGTGAGAGCTTCTTTGTTGCATTCTGACAGTCACCTAGGCTTTGCTTTGGAAAACTCCGCTTTGTCTCTTCATTCTGTTGCTGAAAAAGCTGAGGGGATAATTCCTTCCTTTAGTGTGAGATGTTCCTGACTGGTTAGAGCAGTGAGTCTATAAACTTTTTTGACTGAATATCCCATCAGTAAATAAAGAAAAATTGAGCATGTACCTCTAATGTATGTTAGAGTTGTTTGGATTAAAATTACATATATATATGTACTAATAATTACGAGAATCTCTTTTTGGGGGGATAGATCAGAAAAGAACACCTTTTTGCTTCACCAAAATTAAATTATATATAATTAAGACACATTGTTCTCAACCACAAACACCCTGGATGTTATGAGGTGTACGCAGAAGGAGAGATTGGGCTAGACAGGGAATAGAGATAATACCTATTTCTTCTCCTTCACCTCTAACCTAACTGCTTCCCTTTTTTGGTCTTTTCCTAGTTAAATATTCAGCATTGCAAACCCAATCTGCAGAGAAACCTTCCCAAGAGACTCCGAAGATCTAACTCCACAGCAAATGCATACATGTACATTTCAAATGCTTGTAATTTTGCTTATTTAATTTGGATTGAAAGCTGTTCTCCAGCTCTATGGAATAACTGGCTTCTTATTGACAAGCTTTTTTTGGTGGGGAGGATTTGGTTATTTATGTTGGGCTGAAAAAAACTTAATGTTAATATGTTTAAAAGTGATGGGGTCACAAAAGTGTGAGATAACTGGCCTAGCCTCTCATGGAATAGAAGTGTCTAAGAGGAAGGTTGATGAAAACCCAGGGAGATTTATTCTAGCTCCTTGGGACCACTGGCTCCCTTGTACTCACAGACAGTAGTTCTCCCAAGGAAGTCCAGGCCTATGCTTCTCTAGTGCAGTTGGGAAATTGAAATAAAGTACTGAACTTAGGTAGTCAGGAGTGATATAGAAATAGAACAAGGGGGAAAAAAACCTCAGAAACTAAGCATAAGAAAGAGATGCAAATGAGCACTGAGGTCACTGAGTAGAGTTAGAAATATCCTACTACTAGATATTTATTTCAGGGTACCAAACCTGGGCTTTTTTCCCCCTGAAACTTTGAGGGGGTGGTCTTCAGCATGTGCAACCTGACCCAGCTCTCTAAAAGTGGAAAATGTAGGGTTTTTTTAAACTTTCCCACCCAAGAAAACTCAATTATAGAAAAATGTCTGTAGCATTAATTATTTACTTATGTTATCTTGTGACAAAGATAACATTACCTGCTAGTGTGTGGGAATGTGCTTATGTCCGTGAAAGAGCATGACTCAGAAACAGCCAGGGCTACACACAGACAGTGTTGCCTAGTGGACAGAGAAAGCACCACGGTTTGATCCCCTCCTGATCTTTCTTTTCAGGAAGAAAAGCCACACTTCTTTTTGAGAGCAAGAGGGGATTGTTGTTCGTTTTATTTTGGAGAACATACCCTTCAAGCCCATGAAAATTAACTAGCAGAAATGGCTTTCTTGGCCATTACTTAGAAAATGGAATGCACTGGTGTAACATTGTAATTGTCCTAGGTCCTGAGCACGTGTCCCAGGGGCAGGACGCAAAAGTCTTTTGTTATGTGTTTGTCAAGTTGAAAGAACTTGGGGTTCTGGTCTCCACTGGGCCTCTCTGTGACTTGGGAGAAGGGTCAGTATTTCAGTTTCCTTCTCTACACAGTGAGAGATTTGAAATGATCACTAAGGGTTCTTCGCTACTCAAGATATGAGACCTATTCAGAATAGGAACAAAGTAGCTTAAAATTGAACTATCAAGAGATACTTTAGAAGTAAAGAAAAAACATTTTGTAGGGCAAAAAGAATGAATTCTATTTGCATTGAACCTCTAAACGGCATTCTAGCCATGCTTACCTGGATTGGCATATCCACAGTTCCCACACAAGTTGTAACCACTCTGTGTTCCTGTAAATATTTTTAAACTAGTCTAACAACAGTACTCTCATATAAGAAATGTCTTGTGAAACTTTTTGGAAGTCCTTTCTTAGCTTTAAAGCTGTGTTGAAGAATACTGTGTTAATAAACACAAAGAAATTGTTTCCTTCCATGTGGCCTTTTTCAGTGTGTTTTCTCATCCTCCCCTCTTCCCCTCCCTTAATAAGAAAGGGCATTCAAAATACAAGTTCAGTTCCTCAGTGTTTTTCTGACTGGAGGGGGCTTGGGTCCAAATCACCAAGAGCAGCTGAAAACAGCCTCAGTCAGCTTGATGACAGCTACAGTTGTGTGTGGGGAAACCATCTAGGGACTGTCACAGCAGGCCAGTGGAGAGATGGCAACCACATGTGAGGCTACAGAATTGACAACTTGTCAACCAATGGCAAGTGCAGGTGAAGAGTCAAACATGACTTCAAGATTATGGCTAGTGATACCTTTAACCGAAATTGGTAAGTTTGGAAGAGGGGGAAAGGAAGCCAGCAAGGAGCTGATGTGTGACTGATGTTCAAGAGAAAGATGAGGGCTACATAGTGATGTTGAAATGATCCTTGAGCCCTAGCAAACACCCAAACTAAGCAGAAGATGGAGAAGGATCTTGCAACCAAGGAATTATTTAGAAAAGAGCAAAAATAAGATAGGACATGAATGAACCTCTAAAGAAAAAAAAAACAAAACTCAGGGGCCAGGTGGATTAATAAGAAAGTTCTGTCAGATTTCAAGAGCGGACCAGCAAGATGAGGATGTTACTAAAAATCAAATGCTAATACCACCATATCAATCATATCATTAATCAACAACAAACCTGCAGCGAGATGATGAAAGATAGGGGAGAAGCCCAGTGATGGGAAGAGTTTACAGCTGTGTGGGGAGAGACTCGGGTAGTACAGGTTGATCAATTCACTGCAACAGGAGTTGTGGGGGAAAAAACCCCCAAATAATGAGGAGTATCTCCATAGCAGTAGAGGCACTAAAAAAGATATTTGAAAACTAAACAAGTAAATTTAAAACAAAATGCTGTGGAAGGAAATAGGGCAGGAGAGAGTAGAACACAAGTTCATGTGAAAGGAGCTAAGCTAGAGACTGAATATGTAGAAGTAATCTCATGTCTTCCAAAAAAAGAACTGAACTTGGAGTCACAGGAATGAAGTTCCAATCTCGTGCTATCACATTACCATTTATGTGTGATTGTGGGCAAGGCCCCTAACCTCTCTGGTGTGCACATTCCCTCATCTGGAAAAAAAGGGCACCTATCCCTTCCAGGTTCACGATCCAGTGAACAGTCACAATAGCATCTGCAGGAAACAGTAAAAGAAAATTATCCTTAAGTATTGGGGGTAGGGAGAGGAGGCAAATACCATTGTTAAACTCTTGAAAGCTCAAGTTAAAATTACAAAGGAACATAGTGTTTAAACTTCAGAATTTCAATTCACATCACGATTCTGAGATAGCAGTCTTTAGCTAAGAAGGAAACTCAATTCAAATAGCCCAGTACTACTACCATCTTTGAGAAATAAAAAAGTTGAAACTAGACTGACATTCTGAAGATGGAGAGATTAGATTACACCTCCAAAGAAAATATTCTACAGAGCTTTGAGTCAAACCATCAATTTAAGAAGATGGCCTTTCAACAAAAAGGCATGCAAAGCCCCTCCCCCCCCCGAGTGTTTTGTTAACAATGAAATCATGTCAAGATGTCCAGGTAGAAAAAGATCCAGGAAAAGCGAAGGAGGAAAGCTGGACATGCATTCCATCATATGTTTTAAGAGTTTCTTGTGGGGACTGTGCAAGAGGAGAAGAAAAAACACTAAAGGCAAATGCTGTTAGGAGGGGGAGCTGGGACTGGCATATGTTGGGTTCTGTAAAACAACCCTTCTCCAACCAATACCTGCCCTAAACATAAAAGGCCACATCACAGGAGAAATTAAGAGACTTCACAATCATGCCAGGGGTGAGAATTCTTACTCACACAAGGGGTACAGGTAATCAGAAAGGAAAATTTCAGGCACGTGAAATTTAAAAGCTTTTACATGAACAAGAGACAAGGAATAATAAATTATGTAGATGGGGAAAAATATATCAAATGTCACTGATATTCAAGATACACATGGAATTAACAGGTATGTTAAGTCTTATTCTCATAAGAGCCATTCCTCACTAAATAAAAGGCCAAAGGATACAAGAGAAGCATTTTCAAATGTGTGCCACTCACGAGAACTCACACACCAAAGCCACTATGATTCCCGAGCTAAGTCTTAAGGAGTTGCTTGAGGCCATGGAGGTTAAATGGCTTGCTAAAGTCACACAGACTTGTCAGGATGTCAGGAGCTGAACTTGAACCTAGGTCTTCATTCCACAGCCAACACAGCATTTTATCCAGTATAACAGACTGTCCCTATAAATGGACATGTGAACAAATGGCCCAAGTCACTAAATGAATAAAACAAATGCAAATTCAAACAACTCTACAGTTTCACCTCACACCCAATTAATGTGGCAGCAGGAAAGGAGATAGGGAGATTGAAGATTAGCGAAATCTGCTAGAGAAGAATCAATATAGAGTGGTTATGAGAAGACGGCACTCACTGCTAATGAAACTTTTAAACTGGTCCAACCATTCTGGAGAGGAGGAAAAGTCTGATGGAGTAGGTCAAGAGCTGAACTTAAAAAGCCAGGGAGCCCTTGTTTCCAATCCTGCCCTTGCCCCATCCTGGTTGAGTCAACGAGAACTCTTCTGTGCTCCAGGCAGTTCTGTAATATAATGTGCAGAGAAGAGGCTAATCTTGTGAGAAAACTGATATGAAGTAAAATAAGCACATCCAGGAAAACAATATATACAATGATCACAATCATGTATGTAAATGAATGCTAAGGTGTTCTCACTAAACGTGACATGGAAAGAAAATGATTTAGTTGGGGCAGCTAGGTGGCACAGTGGATAGAGCACCGGCCCTGAAGTCAGGAGGACCTGGGTTCAAATCCAGCCTCAGGCCAAACACTTGACACTTACTAGCTGCGTGACCCTGGGCAAGTCACTTAAACCCAATTGCTTGAAAATTTAAAAAAAAAAAGATTTAGTTCCCTGCCTTTGGTACTGAGATGGAGGACTGCAAGTATACACTGCTAGTTGGGTACCTGGTTTTGTTCAGCTGCCTTTTCTTTGTTACACGAGAGGGTTCAGTGGGGATTAGGGGCATAGTATAGCAAAAAATGAAATCTAAGAGATGATAAAATGTGTAAAAAAATTATTATTTTCCTCCATCACTATTAAATCATACACTCAAAAAATGAACTTAAGATTTCAGTGTGGATATTTGCATTCTCTTAAAAACAACAATTTTCCTGACAGTTGACCTGGGCTTAATTCTGGCATCTCCAGTGACATTTAGGTACTGAATAATATGCATGCATGCGTGTGCGCAGCTCCCCCCCCCCCCCCCGTTGCTGGGGAGATAAAATGAGATACTGTAGTAATGCACTTTATAGACATTAAGGCACTGCATAAATGCTTTCCTCATCATTATTATTAGGGGGATTCTGAAGTATGTAAGTCCTCTGAGCTTTTCTGATCCCTTCCTATACATTCTCACAAGAGACAATATTTAAAAAGGAAAAAAAAAACCTTTCAAAAAAAAGAAGTTAAGTGAAGCCAAAGTTTGTGGGGAAAAGATTGCCTGAACTCTTTCCACTGGGGAATCATTTTACCAGGGGATAAACAGTGCACATAAAGCAGTGCTCTCTGATCCAAGTTTAGCTTTAGCAAACAGGGAAATGATACAAGGACCAGGAACTGAAGATAAGCCAAGCAAATAAAATACCTGTTAGCAAAGGTCCTTATCAATTTCAGTCAAAACAGACAAGACCTATGACAAACATAGTTCAAATACTATTTCCCCCTAAAGGAATACAAACCAAAATACAGTTAAAAAAAGAAAAATGCAAAAGTTAAGCATGTATCAATTTTAATACTAGAATGAAACTTTCAGATGAGGCAAATACAATATGGTACCAGTTTTAAAACTTTAATTTTACAATTTTTTTTTACTATCATACACCTAAAAATAAAATGGAAAAGTAATCCCTCCTATAACAAGATGAAAATTCAAGTGCTTTTACATACAGAAGGGAAAAAAAAACCCAAAAAGGCTCTGTTGTGCTTGTTTCAGATCATTAGAAGCGATTTCCTGAAGACTAGAGGTAACCTTACCTAGACAGTTACCTTGGAGCTGGGACGTGCTCAGAATTCATGCCCTGGCCTTACCAGGGTGGTCCAAATGGCCAGCTGGGTGATCCAAATGGCCAACTAGCTGGTCCCTGCTGCAGAAGAGGGCTAGGAAGGAGGCAATGCAATTCTCCAAATTCGGTTCCTCCCATCAAAAGGCCAGCATATCTAGTCGATAGTAACTAACATACCCGATTAAATGAGCTGGTTTTATCAAAAGGGCCATTTAACCTACTCTACATTAACAAGTCTGCTGCAGCTGTATGACTGCTTCAAATTCCAGGAAGGGAAAAAGAGGGAAATGAATTTTTAAAAACATTTCCATTCATCATCATTTTAAGTCTAGAATAACAGACCATTGAAATGAGGTAAATACAACATGGTATCAATTTTAAAACTTGATTTTTAACAATTTTTCTTATTATCATACACCGAAAACTAAAAATGGAAGAAATAATTCCTTAGCTATTTATCTACTAGTTCAGTAATCCTTTATACTTGGAGAGGACACTCATGTTTTCTGGCTGAAATAAAGCAATAATTATCCTTAAACATACCATAGACAGTACAAATTAAGACCACGACTCTATCCAACAGTTAACTGGAATACTTTTTTTCTTTCGATCTTAGTACGTTTCTGGCACCACACTGGAAAAAAACTTCATAAAATAGAAAATCCAAGATACACATAGGAAGACTTTTGGGGACACCTTGTATTTTTAAAAGCTACGCTTGAAACTTATTGAAACATGGCTATTTTTCAGCTATTTAACTGCAAACATTAAAAAAAAGTAAATTCTCCAAAATGAGGTCACCATAACATCATTGTTAATGCACAGTAATTTTAGGCCAACTAAAGTCTCCTGAGGGCAGTTAATGTTCTCCTTTTGATA